AACATAGCAAGACCCTGTCGCAAAAAAACAAAAACCAGCCAGGCGTGGAGAGCAAGTGCCTGTCATCCCAGAGGCTCAGGAGGCTGAGGCAGGAGGATCTCGAGTTCAAAGCCAGCCTCAGCAAAAGTGAGGCTCTAAGCCACTCAGTGAGACCCTGTCTCTGAATAAAATACAAAATAGGGCTGAGATGTGGCTCAGTGGTCACGTGCCCCTGAGTTTAATCCCTGGTACCAAAAAAAAAAAAAAAAAAAAAATCCTAGATCTTCTGCAGCCTGGGTGACCTCAGGCAAGTAGCTTTCCTTCTCTGGGCCTCAGTCTTCTAAACTGTAAGATGAGAAGGAGTTGGGGTAAGAATTACATAAGTCTTGTGTGTGGGATCAGCGTCCCTTCTATGACCTGCAAACCCAGTTTCTGACTTCGGAGGATGGGGAGAGGGGGTGAGTCTGAGGGACAGTGGGGGCTCTGTGGTAGTGGTGAGCAGCTTGGACTCAGGTCCTGGGTGACACAGACTTTCTCTGAAACTCCATTTCCGTCCCCATAAAATGGGGACAGCCCTCCCATCTCCTTTGACACACATAAGAAGCTAAACAGGTCGTCTGGGTTCCTCTCCCCGACAAAGCCCCAGCCTCTAGAAGATTTTACTGGGCTCCAATAGATGAATTCAACTTTCCTGGATTGGAAAGAGAGAGGTGGCGCACACCTATAATCCCAGGGGCTCAGGAGGCTGAGGCAGGAGGATCACAAGCTCAAGGCAGCCTCAGCAACTTAGTGGACTCTGACTCAAAATGAAAAATTTGAAAAGGACTGGGGATGTGGCTCAGTGGTTAAGCACCCCTGGGTTCAGTCCCAAGTACAACTACAACTAAAAGGGAGAGGGAAAGAGAGAGAGAAAAAGAGAGAGAGAGAGAAAGAAACAGGAGGGAATTTCAAGGGTTGAGGCCCCAAGGTGGGAAAGAACAGAGTCTCTATGGTCAACAGTTCCTGAGAGGGCAAGATGTGAGGCTCAGCTCAGCGTGGTGGTGCATGCCGGCCATCCCAGCTAGCCATTCACACTTTAGTAAGAGTTGCTTGGCCCACATAAGTGGCTGCAGAGGCTGGACAGAGCTGGGGGTCACAGTTGATCTTGTGCCTCTTCTGACTCACTACGTGACCTGGGCCGGTCATTCCTGGGCCTCCCAGGACCTCCATTTCTGCAACCAGAAAACTGGGTGAAAGTGACCTTCGCCTCTACCCAGGGTTATCGGAGGCCAGGTTGGTCCTGAAAGGACATGAGGGCCAGGCGAGTGTCCCCCACAGGGAGCCGTGGGAAGTCCATGGCTTCAAGTCCACTTCTGCTTTTGAACCATATTTGCAACTGCTTTGCATATTTTCTCCTTTCTCATCAACAGCCCTGAGTTCCCTTCCTGCCGGGCTGCCTGGAATCTCCCAGTTCCTCCCAGCTCTCTCTCTCTCTCTCTCTCTCTCTCTCTCTCTCTCTCTCTCTATATATATATATATATATATATATATATATATATATACACACACATATATGTTTGGGATTTTTTGGACACTGTTGACAATGGAACCCGGGGCCTTACATATGCTAGGCAAATGCTCTGCCACTGAGCCACACCCCCAGTCTTCTTTATTTTATTTTGAGACAAAGTCTTGCTAAGTTGCCCAGGCTGGCCTTGAACTCATGATCCTCCTACCTCAGCCTCCCAAGTAGCTGAAATGAGAGGTGTGTGCCGCTGCCCTGGCTCAAGGTAGCCTTTTATCAAGAGGAGGTGTTAGGATGTTCTGGACAGAGTTCTCCCCGGGGTCTCACCGTAACTGGATTCTAGGCAGCTTCTCGACTCCTTGACTCCTTCCATGGATGCCAAAACTCAGACTCAGAATTTTTGTTTTTTGAATATGTACCAGGGATTGAACCCAGAGCCACTTAACCACTGAGCCACATCCCAAGCCACCACCCCCCACCCTTTTTTTTCCCCCTAACTTTGAGACAGGATCTTGCTAAGTTGCTGAGGCCGGCCTTGAACTCAGGATCCTCCTGCCTCAGCCTCCCAAGCCACTGGGATGACAGCCTGCGCCACTGTGCCTGGTCAGAAATTGATTTTGAAGTGGGAGCCTCAGTCCCCTGTTGCTTCAGGGGACCTCGGCAAGACAGACATCCCATTTACAGGAGCCAACGCAGGCTCCAGCCGCCCTGCAGGGCTTCCGATTTTTTCAAGAGGAAACTGAAACCTACAATTTTGATGTGAAAAAGGGGAGCTACCTCGACTTTAGGGAAGGAAGAAATAAAACAACCACCTCCCCCCAAAACCCCCACCGCGGGTGCCGTCCGTGAGGCGAGGTTCGGAGGGTGAACCCCCGGGTCCCTGAGTCAGCGGCTCCTCCCTCCCCAACGCGACCTCAGTCGGGCACACGTGGTGCCTCCTCCCCTCCCCCCATCCTCCCCCAGCTCACCGCCCTGTGTCTGTCCCCAGGGCTCAGGCTGCAGAGGAAGGCGACTTCTATGTAAACTTCGAGGGCGGACAAGGCGACTCGCATCCCGTCTACTGCAACCTGCTGTCCCTGCGCCGCGCCACGGGGGCCGGGGAGGCGCGCGCCACCCCCAGGCGCTGAGCCGGTGGCGGAGCCTTGGTCCTCCAGGCCCTGCTGCTGCGGCCCCGGGCACCGCCAGCTCGTCCGCTGGCCTCAGACTCCCCGTGTGACCAATGGGGACAGAGAAGGGCCATCCTGGAGAAGGGCCATCCTTTGACAACACCATGTCACCCCCCTCTCGATGTCGCGGAGGTGCTCAATAAATGCTTTGGGACACAGACGCTGCTGGCTCAGTCCCTGGGTTCCTGCTGGCGGGCATTTCCCAGGCTCCGTCTGAGACACCCAGGCTCTCCCACCCCCAGCCCTGCCCTGTGCCCTGCCCTCGCCCCCTTCCCAGGCGTCCAGGCTGGGCCCTGACCCTGAAGTGGCACCTCCCTCCCCCTTTCTTCCCAGAAAAGTCTTCACTGGGCGTCTCCAGAAATCTTCACCATGGCTGATTTGGGGACTGTCAGCAAAAAAGTTTCTGCAAAAGAGTTCAACATAGAGAAACTTCCTGTTTTACTTGGCCACTGGCCGGGAAGATGCCAGCACTCCAGGTGTGGACACCCCTTACTCGTTTTCACAGACGTATCCAGTGTAGTACTTTGTAGAAATGTGCAAACAAGGCCTCTGGCCCTGAGCTGGGCTTCACAGACATGTCTACATTTTTAAGATAAGTTACAAAGGGGCTCCATGGTCACAGCTGGCAGGGGGAGGGAAGAAAGGGGAGAAGAAGCTCTCCCTTCTCAGGTGTTGTCCTTGAAGAGTTAACTTGCCCAGAACAGTGACAGAAAAAGCTGTGAACTTCTGTGAACTTCTGCAGACTGTGAACCTCTGGGCCCCTCCCCTTACATGCTGGGTACAAAACCCTGAAACTCCCTGAACTCAGGGTTCAGGGGATTGATTGATGACAGCAAAAGCTGTGCCCTCTGAACCTGGCTGCAGCCAAATACAACTGTTTCCTGCTGTCCTCGGTGCCCTGCCTGTCTGTCCCTACAACAACCCCACGGGAGGAACACTGGCTCCAAAAGCTTCTTCTTTCTTTTTTTTTTTTGCTGTCATCCCAGTGGCGGACCCAGGCACACTTTACCACTGAGCCACGTCCCCAGCCCCTTTTCTTTCTTCTTTTGAGACAGCGTCTTGCTGAGTTGCTTGGAGCTTCACTAAGTTGCTGAGGCTGACTTTGAACTTGTGATGCTCCTGCCCCAGCCTCCTGCGTCACTGGGATTACAAGGCATGTGCCCAGCTCCCAGTCCTTTCATTTTTAAAAAAAATTTCAATGAGACAGGGCCTCACCAAGTTGCTGAGGCTGGCCTGAAACGTGATCCTCCTGCCTCAGCCTCCTGAGGAGCTGGGATAGTAGGTATGTGCCAGGAAGCGCCACCTGCCTGACCCTCTTAACCCACTTTTCTTCCCTCACTAGTGAACTACCGGGGTTCAATCTCCACACATTTCCTCTACAGTGCCCACTTTCTTAGGATTTTTGGTGTGGTGCTGGGATGGCACCCAGGGCCTTGCTCAGGCCAGGGGAGCTCCACCACTGACGTGCACCCAGCCCCCCAGGATTCCCTCCAGACTCCCGCGTCTCCCCCATTCCATCAGATCATCAACAGTGGCTCTTGTCTGTGTGGTTACTGCTGCATGCTCAGTGCCCAGCCAGAACCTGGCACAAAGCTGGCACTCACAAAATACATGCAGGGACACCTACTGTCATTCAGGTTGGCTTCCATGACAGTGGCATTCCCAGGGACACAGCTCATTGCTGGAGATCTTCTATCCCTCCAGAGCACCCTTCAGCATTCCCCTCCAAGGCCCAGAGGGGGACAGGCTGGTAGGTGGGGTGCTGCCTTCAGCACACCTCAGCAACGCCAAGAAGATGCTTATGGAACCTTCTTCATTCTTCAGTGGGAAAATTATGTAACCTGTGCATGAAAGTGTTCTTCACCACTTATTTATTTCTCCCTGCTCTTTTTATATGAAAGAGCAGAGGTATCATTAACATGGAAGGAAATGCCACAAACAGGAGGGGTGGTGGGTCTCTTCACGGAGGGGCGGGGGTATAAAATGATGAACTCGACGGCAGATGGGCCTGGCTCTGGGCGGCCTGTGCTTGGAAAGGTGACCACTCTGGGACAGAGACAGAGAGCCACCTCTGTCCCCCAGAGAAGAGTACTGAGAGATGAAGAAAGACAGAGGCAGACTGAGACCCCAAAGGGTCCCAGAAACAGAAGAAAATATAGAGACAGAATCCCCAGAGCAGTCAGGGAGACCTCCCGGGCCGTGAACGCCTCTGGTGGCTGCTGTTTGAAGGACATCCTGCCACCCACGCTCCAAACCCTTCCAGTCCCCCTTCCCAGCTCCCCTGGGGAAACCGAGGCCAGGAGCTGGGAATCTTTCCCAGGTCCCCCAGCCCCATCCTGGACAAGAATCAGTTCAGACAGCTCCATTTTTATTACATATCCAGAGTTTTAAATAAATACACCTTCCACCGGGCGTCTCCCAGGCCGAGACCCCAATAAGTTAATAATAAATACAGTCATAAATACAGCGGGAGGGCGGAGGGGGCAGCGGGAGTGGGTTGACGGTCAAGACCTGCGGGCCCCCTCCACAGGCGGGACCACTGAGGCCACTTCCATTGCGCAGGCGCCGGACTAAGTGGGGCCGGGGCTGCTCATGCGCAGTGGCAGGCTTTGGCCTGGAGGTCGTCGTAGGTCCTGAGCGAGACGCCGCGGTCGGTCTTGTGCATGAGGACGACGAGGTCGTAGCTGGAGGGCACACAGCACGGGGCGGGCACCGCGTCCGGCTTCAGGCCGTGCAGACGCGCTTTGATCTGCGCATGCGTGTTGGCCGCCTGGTAGTGGCTGGGGCACTCGCCGACGCACACGCTCACGTGCAGCTCGCGCGGCGACAGCACCCAATCAGTCCAGCCCAAGTCCTCCAGCGTCGCTCGGACTGTGTGCAGGCGACAGCAACGCCCGGGCCCGAGCGGGCAGCCGTCCGAGTCGCGTGCACGCGCGCTGCGGGGCCCCCTGGCGGCTCGTGCCCGCAAGTGCAGTTCCAGCTGAGGCCCGGCGGAGGGCGACAGTGCCAGTGGCAGGTCCGCAGGCGGCGACAGACGCAAATGTAGCGAAGGTGCCCGGGATCCTCTGAGGCTGAGCTGATGCTTCAGCGGCCGCGTCACGTCCCACGACTTCGACTGTGTCGGGGACAGCCGGAGCAGGGCCCGGTGCACGCGGTAGGCCTCCGGGAGACCCTCTGTCAGCGAGGCCCGGGAGAGGCGCAGGTGCACATGGCCGTCGGAGCCGAGTCGCACTGGGGAAAAAAGAGATCAGAGAGTTGGTCACTCACCCTACTGTGCGCGAGGAATAGGGGTTACCGTGCTGCCAACACACCAAGCAGGACCCCACCACGGGGCCTTGGCACAGCTTCTTCCCGGGAATCTCAGCGTGGCTGTGCCCCATCCCTTTAGGCCGCCTAAATAACAACCATCTTGTTTTATTTCGTGGTAAGTACCTCATCTTCCCTAGAATCTCAGTCCCTCTTGGCTTGGTTGCCACCGTGCCGGGCACACAGTGTACACAGTAAATATCTGAAGGAATGAATGTGTATCCAATAATCGGGGAATCTGAGATTCAAATCTTGGCCTGCTTCCTTCTCATTAAAGAAGAAGAAAAAATCATTTATTTATTTATTGGAGTTGGATGTTACTGTGTCGCCCAGGCTAGCCTTGACCTCCTGGGCTCCAGTGATCCTCCTGCCTCAGCCTCCCAAGGAGCTAGGACTACAGGCACAGACCACTGAGCTAAGCTCAAAAATACCTCACAGGAGGTCTGACCTGATTCTACAAACTTGCGTAGACCAAGGAGTGAGGAGCACCAAGCCCCCCATTATTCCAGATGACTTGGTCCCCAAAACACAGTCCCCCAGGGTAGTGCAAGTGTGGAGGGTCTGCGGAGACCCGTCTGAAAGCCTGCAACCCAGCTCTAGGCTCAGCGAGGGCTAGAGATTTACCAGGAGTCACACAGCAGGGCAAGGATTGGGGGCCTGTGAGGAAGTGCCCTTCTCTGCCAGACCCCTGCTTCCACCCCTCCTGGGTCCCAGCGGCGCCCCCTGGAGCCTCTGTGGAGGGTGCGCAGAGGGAGAACCTCCCTCCCCTGTTGGGGCGCCTGCCCTGCGACTCCAACATCTTGCTGAGGGATTGCGTCAGATTCCCATCCGGCTCCTGCAGGTTCTGCTCGTCGCTGGCCGCCCCGCTGCTCCCTCATCCCTCCTCCTGGACCTCTGGGCAGGGACAGGGACCAGCCTCGCCACCGGGTCCCCGAGGTACCCAGGCCCTGTGCGCACTCGGGGGACATGGCATCGCTGAGCCTGGCTTTGCACATCTGCAGCCCCTGACTGAGGTCCCACCCCGCGGGAGCCTGGCCCTGGCCCGTTGCAAACAGGTGGCGGCCACCTTCCCCATCGGACTCCGGAGGGGACAGAGAGTTCCCACCCACCCATTTCAGAGGCGGGAAAACTGGCGCCTCGAGGCGGGGACTGGGCCGGTGGGACAGTCAGACACTGGGGAGCCCCGGGGTCGCCAGGGCCACTCACCTTCGGGGCTGAGGATTCGCACGGCGGGGGCGGGGGCGGGGCCGGGCGCGGCGTCGCGCGAGCTCTGCTGTCCCCAGAGCCTGGCCCGCAGGTCCTCGTAGCGCATCCTCAACTCCCGGGACCAGGGATCGGGCTCGGCCTCGGGGTGGGTGTCCGATGGCCCCGGGAGGCCGGGTCGGCGCTGCTCGGCCGGGGACACCGCGTCGCCCGACGGCGGCCACGAGATCACCAGGAGCAGCAGCAGCAGCAGCAGCATCTGCGGTCGGGGCGGAGGCGCGGGTCCCCGCCGGGGCCGCCGGGGCCGCGCTGTCGGGGCTGTCGCTGAGGCTCGGGCTCCGGGCTGGGGCATGGCCGGCTGCTTGCTGCGCTCCGAGACTTGACAGCGACGTTGAACAGCGGCCTTTATAGTCCCGGACTTTGTCCGCCCCGCCTGCCGCCCCGCCTGCCCCTGTGCGCCCCCGGGAGGTGCTGGGGGACGGAGTCTCCCGGACAAGCCCGGGCTCCTCCCCGAGCAGGGACAGGATCCCAGCCGCGGGGCTGTGGGAACATGATTTTGTGCAAAGACCAGGCCTGTGGGAAATTGCAGGCAGGAGCCAAGAGGTGGCCTTCCCCCAGGGGGACACCCGCGCCCCTCTCCGTGGGATCAAAGGCTGAAGAGGGTGAAAAACAAAGGAAGCCGAGGAGCAAGGTCAAAGCTGGGAAGGGCAAGTTCAGGCTTCACTGTCCCCACCAGAAAAAACGGCCTTTCTCTGAAGAGGTGGCCAGATGAAGTGTCAAGGACAGCATTAGGGACCTAGTCAGTGCTCAATAAACTGCTATTGCCGTGACTCAGCCTCCCGGAGAACTCGTCAGCCCTCTTCAAAACCCTGTTCCAGAAACCCCTCCTCCAGGGAGCTGCCTCTGACCTGCCCTGGACCGCTCAGCGGTGCTGATCCGCCTGTCCCCTCCTCCCCTGTCCCTAGCGCTGTCTCCTTTGGGGACAGGAGTGCATCTTCTCTCCAGTGCTGCAGTCTCCTGGTTGGTCCCAAAACAGAGGCAGCAGGAAACTGGAGTCCTAAGGTGTGAGGGTGGGGGCTGGTGTCCGTCAGGCCCAGTCACCGGTGGGTCGTGGAGAGTTGGGGTGCCCAGGAGCGCCCTGCCCCCTGCTCAGGACTCCTGGCCCCGACAGCGCCCCCTGTGGCTGCTTCCAGCTTCCCGGGCACAGAAAGGCTGGGCCGTGCCTGAGGGTACCCACTGCACACCTCTCCCTGCGTGTGCCCAGACAAGCCTCCAGCCCCACCCTGGAGGTCGAAGCCTCTGTCCCACGGGGTCACCACTATGCTGTGGCGGGGGAGAGGTCCCCCGTGAGACACTCTGGGCATATGATAGGTGCTCAGGAAACGTGCCTCTCAGTTCCATCCTGACTGCTTGGTTGGGAGGAGGAGCCTCTGGCCTGGCCCCTCACCCACGGAGTACATACAGTAGGCGCTCAATGAAGGGTGCCACATGGACGAGGCTGAAAGCTGGCAGGCTACGAGGTCACTCCCCCACACGTGGCCCATCAGGAGAGATGAGTAATCCTGATGCGTGTGGCCTTGAGCAGGTCAGGAGGGTCACCGAGACCCAGGCTTGTTCTGGGGCAGCATTGGGGCCAAGGGACACTGCCCGAGTCGGCAGCTTTTCAAGTTCAATAGCGGAGATGGCACGGCCGCGGTCATGGACTCCCAGCTGGGCCGCGTCCAGACACCCTCTTGTTCTACAGGGAGATGCAGGGGATCAAGAGGTGCATAATAAGTGCTCAATAACCGGGCCTTACTACAGCTACTCAGCCGCTCGGGAGAACTCCTGCTCCTTCTTCAAAACCCTGATCCAACCCCCTCCTGCAGGGAGCAGCCCCCCCCACTGTGCCCGCTGAGCAGTGCTCACCCTCGGCCAGGGCTGCCCGTCCCTGGCTCCTGCTCCCGGTACTGGGGACCCTTGAGAGCAGGAACGCACGCCTATAATCCCAGCAGCTCCAGAGGCTGAGGCAGGAGGATCCTGAGTTCAAAGCCAGCCTCAGCCACAGCAAGGTGTTAAGCAACACAGTGAGACCCTGTCTCTAAATAAAATGCAAAATAGGGCTGGGATGTGGCTCAGTGGCCGAGGGCCCCTGAGTTCCATCCCCAGAAATCCCCCCTTCTAAAAATGATGAGTTACATAAAACCAAAAGGATCAGTCTGAGGTGTTCAATGACATTTTTATAAATGGTGTCTCCATGAGACTTCTCAGGGATGAAGTTCCAGAACATTCTTCCTGGCCCCAGGGAACACCTCCCTAACATCACCCTCCCGACCTCTAGATAACATGGATGCGTTGCCTGTTTCCCACCGTGACCTGAACAGAAGCAGCCGCAATCTCCTCTCCCGCCTGGGGCCCCTCACTCAGCCCATGTTCATGAGCGATGGCGTTTTTGGGTCTCTCTGTTTGGGTTCATCCTTTTCCCTTGTTATGTAATATTCCACGGCACATGCCCAGAGTGGAGCTGCCAGGTCGGGAATGGGCATCTGTCACTTTAAGAGCGGGGTTAGTAAATAGCTGGCTTCATTCATGGAATTTCCCCCAGGGGCACAAAAGCCAGGAGTCCCCTGGAGAAGGGCCACCTGTCAGGTTTCCGCCCCACCAAGCTCCAGAGCGGGGTGGCTGGGCCGACTCCCCAGATTCTGTAAACGATGACCTCACTCGTGGCCATTCCCGTGGCTGAGCTGCACGGGGCGCGGGCAGCCCGCCAGGGGTGACCTCAGCCCTGGGGACCCTGACTGTCCTGGGGGGGCAGGAGGTGGAGGTCAACTGTGGGGCCGGGTCAGGTGGCTCCTCTGCCTGGTGGGGCCCCGGCCCACGCAGGCTCTCGGTCACGGTCCCCGTGTCGCCTCGTTGCCAGGGAAACCGACAGCCTCCCGCTGAACGGGACTGTTTCCAAAGTCCAGCGAGTCCCAGGGGGACAGGGTGGACGGCTGTCCTGTCACTCGCTGGGACCTCCCTGGGGGTCGGCGTGTGCCTGGGTCCTGAGGTGGCACCTGGCTCTGGGGGGCACCTGGCTCAGTCCCTGCGTTGCCGGGCAGATCGGGGGACCATTTCCAAGGACCCCCCAAGCCCGTGGCCTCCCCCTGGAGAGGGACAGCTCTGAGCTCGCAGGCCCTCCGCCAGCCGCCGTCCAACACCAGGAGCCATCGTCACCTGTCCTGGGCCGTGTGCTTAGCCTCATCTGGAGCCAGTCAGGCTCAGGCAGGTGGCGGGACAGAAGGGCCCTGCCGCCACCCGCCCCTC